TCGAGCCAGATGATTGACACTCGAGATGCCACCATTAGTGAGTCGAACCTGCCGAGCCGTTTCCGATCGATGAGAGTGAACTAGACTAAGCATCTGAATTGTCTTACCCAAGCCCATCTCATCGGCAAGTATTCCACCAAGACAATGCTGTTCCTGGACTGGAAAGTCTAGTGATAAATCCCCAGAGTAGGGATTGACGTAGAATTTTGACACTCCTTCAACGTCAGGCAACTGGTTGTCATCAACATCTTTTGTTGGCCAGTCGTACTCTTCCCAGAGAGGGTGCATGGATGGCTCGCGATTGCTCATCTCGTCTTTTTCCTTTGCCATCATCCAGTGCAAGGATTGCTTTTGGTACGGCCTCAAGGTCATGGCGAAGCTGTCAGCCGGTTCGGCTTCCGGGGTGTTGAAATCGAAACACTGCGCCTTTTTATACAAAGCATCCAACTGATCTTGCTCAAGCTCCTCCCCCTCCTCGGTATCTGATGAGTTGGGCACCGACTCCGATTCCTTGCCGGGAACCGCGGCCTTTTTAGCATCGCGTTGCTTCTGCTCGTCCATCTCGGCAGCCTGAAGCAGTTCCCTCCTTTTATCCTTGGCCGCTGAATTTGCCCGAGTTGGTTGCAAGTTGATTTCTTGAAAAAGTCTTACTAATGCGACCTGACGCAAGCGCAATTCCTTCTCATCCGTGGTTTCGCCTCGCTCAAATATGTTGTTAGGTTGATCGTCGGCAAACCGAAAGCTGCGGGCTTCAAACGCAGAGCGTAGCAGCAAACATCTCAGCTGCAAATACACAGTGTCGTTGGTTCGTAGTCGTTCAGGTGCATACACACAGATTCCCTCAAAATGACACACATCTTGATCAATCAATGTCGACACCCAATTCGCCGTGTCTTTGGTCAAGCGACCGATTTCTGTGCCGGATTGATTGGTAAAGCGAACAATCACATCGACTGTTCTCGAAGCCGCTGTCTTCGGCTTTGGAGAGGGTGAGCTGACAACTCCAAGCTTGTTCTTGATTTTGGGCGGCGGCGCGGGCTTAATTTTCTGGCGCTCGATCTTGATGACATCCCCATGCTTTAGCATATTGCTTCCGCTTCGAGTTGCCCAACCTTCTGCACCAAACGCACCTAGATATCGTTTTCGTGGCAAGGTTCCGAGAGAGAGAGATGGACTTGTTGTAGACTCCTCGATAGATGCAGATTGGGCGGTTCGGGAACTGGCCGGCCGCTGGCTGACGGATCCAAAAATTGGCTGTTGTTTGGTCTGCAACTTCTTGTACGTGCCATCAAAGAACATGTTGACAGCCCTTTCGAGATTGTCGCCACAATTGTTCCGAATGATGTTGAGAACTTCGTTGCTGACCTTGTCACCAACGAAGCTTTCGAACATGTCCTTGTCGAAGTTCAAAGTTGTAGGCTCGTCCAAATGCACAGAAGTTGGCTGAGGCGAGTCTGATTTTATATTGGCCGTGCCATTTTCCGAAAGCTCAGCGAGTGCGATGCGCGAATCTGAATCCCTCTTCACGCCCTCGTGGTCCTTGACGTACTCCTTAGCTGACACAGGCGAAGAACTGTGTCCAGGGCTGAGCAGTACAGGATCAGACGAATTCTCACCTGGGTCTCTGAAGAACCTCCGTTTCTTGGGTGGAGGCTCCTGCGACGCTCCAGACTCCATGATAAAGAGCACTCATTGACAATGCGCAAGTGTCAACAAGCACACGCGGAGTGGTATATGTCGGCACATGTGGTCAAACCTTGAGGCGGGATGAACCAGTCAGTGGGGAGACGCGCCGCATCTTCACTGTTGCGGGAGGCGCGACAAAGCGTGTCTAGTGGTCATGTGACCGCGTTTGGAACGGTCGCAGGGGACCCGCAGCCCGGAATTCCATGCTCAAGTGCTTTACGGAGTACGGAGTACTTACTCCGTAACTGGAATGGCCACTGTCTGGGGCAGTCAGGCTCAAGCTACAGTAAGGTGTGTACCCAACATCCACCCCACTTGTAATTTTTGGGGGGGGCAGCCAGAGGCCATCGCCATAATTACTCCATTCTACTCCGTATCCTTGAAGCAATTGATGGCTAATACAATGCCCTTCATTGGTCCATGGGCTTGTGATCTGTGAGATATTTGGCCTTACCACCGTATCATCACCACAAGCTGGGCCATTGGCCATCAATCTTCTCAGCTACCCTTTATGCGCCGCCCCCAAGCCATAGGCGTTAGCCTGAGAAGGTTTGCCCATGGCCGGCCAAACCGTCGTGGATACGTGACAGATGCCGACGTAGAATCCGCAAGGGCATACTGCTTGAGGCAGCTCCAGTATGTGCGCCATGCTTCCTCGCCCTCACGTTGGAGTTCTCCATAGCTGATGCTCTCTCCCCAGGACAAGCGATTACGATGCACATCTCATCCGACGGTTTGTACCGTCTCCGGTCCGAGACACCTACGCCGCTCTTAGAGCGCTCAACCTCGAGTTGGTCCGCCTCCCCGAAGTCGTGTCGAATCCCGTCATTGGCGCTCTTCGCATGAAGTTTTGGCATGAGTCTATAGACAAGACTTTCGCCGGAATGCCACCTCGAGAACCAATCTGCATTCTGCTACACCAAGCTCTTCAGGGACTGGAAGCTCGAGCCGGCAGCCCGACCAAGAAGTCGATAAAATTTTGGGTATCTCGACTTGTCAAGACGAGAGAAAAGTACATGGATGGCCGACCGTATCCCAGTCTGGCAGCGTTGGAAGACTATGCCGAAAACACATACTCGACCATGATGTATACGACGTTGGCATCCATGCCCCTGCGCTCCATGCACGTTGATCACTTGGCTAGCCATATTGGCAAAGCCTGTGGCATAATTGCTGTGCTGCGAGGAATTCCAGTCTTGGCCGCTCCCGGGCGGCCCGTTAAGACTCCTACTGGCGCGGATGCACCTCCGACTCGCGAGCCGTCTCTGTTGCTGCCACTGGACATTATGGCCGAGGAAGGCGTAAAGGAGGAGGAGGTTTTTCGACAGGGGCCAAACGCACCCGGGCTGCAGGATGCCGTTTTCAAAGTCGCAACTCGTGCGAATGACCACCTAATTACGGCTCGGGAGATGTTGAAGCGGCTAAAGGCCGGCGAAGACCCGGGCCACGAGTTTGAGCACGAAGGAGAGGCTGAGCATATCTATCTGGGGGAAAACGACACGAACAAGGAGATTAGGCAAAGTTTCGGGGTGCTCCTGGAAGCCGTACCAGCTTCCCACTATTTGGAGAACCTGGAAAAGGTTAATTTCGATCCATTTGCCGTGAAGTCTGGTGGATGGCGATTACCTTGGAGGATCTGGCAGTCATTGTCATCTGAGAGGCTATAATGATATGTAACAACATGTAGAATATTGTACTTTAGTGAGGTGGAACAAGGACGTTCACTTGATGACACAAATTGGAATAATCGAGCACTTGAGAGACTCTGCCCAGCAAATGTCTCCTAGAGCTACAACACGCACTTACCAACCTGTTCAGTAGCTGGGAAGCTAAGCTCATTCACAAAACTGACGATGAGCAAAGCGGGAGCCAAGAATGTGTCTTCGCCATAGTTCACAAGGCCTCCAGATTCGTCCTCTCGAATAATTGATAAGCAAAGAAAACAAGCTCCCCGATATACAAGCCTTCATCTACAAACCCCATTCATATCACACCAGTGCTCAAGCCCAAGCCCAAGCTCTCCAACACGTCATTGGCCCACGCCAAACCTCGACAGTGGACCACGACACACGACATGCACCGGCAAATCCTCGGCCCGATACCCCTGCTCCAAATTTCGAGATGCGTCCAACACCACAGACCACGGACCGTCATACCATCACCAACTCCTCCTCGACCAAGCATAGATGCGGCCGTCAAGATGCTCTACGAGCTAATAGCCATTGTGCGCCTCTCCTCCCGTCCACCCCCTTCCCCGCAAATCTAACTAAATCATACAGGTCCGACCAGGCAACCTAGGCGAAGTAAAGGAGTACGTTTCCAGCCCC